CCCGTTCCTTCACAGCCTTGTCCATTCCCCGTCTACCCCGAAGCCGGCCGGGGTGTCCCCCCAAAGCCCCTGGGCCGGGGGCCCCGGCCCCCCTGGAGAACGGGAGCCCCGAAAGAACTGGAACCCCGGCCCGCGGGCCCCGGCCCCCTGGCCCAGGGAAGGTCTCGCAGCTTCTGAGTCCCCTTTTTCCGTGTCCCCCTCGATGATCCGCTGCGTTTTCCAGGAGGAGGAAGTATGGCGAGGAGACGGTAGTGTAGGCACCTTTCTCAGACTTGTTCCCGGAGGCATCGGCGCTCGTGATGTCCGGTTGCACAATACTCACCGTCACTGACCCCAACGCGGGCCGCGTGGTGGCTGAAGCTCTGAAAGCCCTGCTCCTTTGGAGGCGGTGAAGAGTGATCCAGACTTCTTTTGTACCTTTTTACGTTCCCCTTTTTTACGGTTTCACGTTAAAGCCAATACAGTATTGTCGAGCAATACGACGCGTGGTAATGTTGCATATTTTTTACTGAATACTTGATACTCTGAGAAAGCTGACTGAGGCGGATTCCGGCCGCGGTCCTCACTGGGGAAGCCCATGGGGAGAGGAGAGAGTCCTGGCTCCCTGGCCAGCAGGCCCCTGGGGGGTGACAGGTAAAGCCGGTTAGATGGCAGACGTCAGGGAGTGCGGCTGGGGCTGGAAATGGTTTTACTCTTGAGACAAACTGCTCCTTGGGGGTTGCCTCTGACATGCAATAGCTGGCTGCGCCCTTAAAGTTCCGCTTGGGGACTGGCTGGTCAGTCATTAGTACCCGCACCACAGTGTCGACCGGTCTCCCCTTCAAGGTGCATTGCCTTTCAGAGCCAAGATGAGGCGAGGCGGGCGGACTGAGTAGCAGAGCCCAGGAGAAATGTTTACCTGGAGCCCGGGCTTCCTTCCCCGACAGTTTCCGCTGCCAGATTTGTCATTGAGAAGCACCGATGCCCATGTCGTAAACAGGCCCGAATTAATGGGTCCCATTAAGGAGCATCCAGGAATCAATGCGGGACAGTATTAAATCAATGGCGTAAATGAAGAAAAAGCCCCTTCGAGAAAACGTGTTAGCATGAATAAATGGCAGGAGGACTTTCAGGAGGCAAGGGCATTCACTTTCAGTCCTGCACAAAAGGAAAGATGCCTCGGCCCTCCCTCCCTCCCAGCAGGGCTGCCCCTGGGCTGTCCCTGGGCCCAGGGGAGGGGGGGCGGGGAGGGGATAGGGTGGCTGGGGAGGGTTCCAGCGTCTGGGACCTAGTCGGGAGGCGCGGCCTCCTTGTTGGGGATGAACCAAGCACCTTGTGTGTAGTGTATTTTGTATCTGTGTTTTGTTTCCTTTTACTGCCTGTTTATAACACTCACTTGACAATAGAGATGAACTGTATTTTAAATCATGCTGTTAAATATTTCCCTCTTTTGTTGGGAAGCTCATTTTAGTTTAACTGTGTTCGCTGTGGCTAGCTTACCTGGAAGGCAGTGACCACTTTTTTATATTCCCTTGATGAACCCATTCAGCAGGTGTACGCTGTTGAGGCTGATTATAGAGGTTTTCTATAATAAATGTTCAAGTATTTTTGTACATAACTGGTTAATTTTAATAAGAGATACCATTATGTGTAAGAAAAAATA